GTACTAGACCCCAAAGTTCATTTGACTATGTTATGGAAGAGACATTTGCAACTGTCTAACACTGTCAACATATGTGATTACTAAATTAATTGTAAGTATAATTTTATTTTTCTTTCCTCTTATAGCCAACTTTAGCACAATAAGAAAATATTCACTTTATGCTAGTTTAAGGAAAGGTTAAGTATACCTAAAATATTTTATCCTTTACACACCATCTTTATAAAAGCCTTTGTATTCTCTTCATTGCAATCAATTTTACTTTTCAGATTTGCCATAATAAAAAAGCTTTATCTCTGAAAAGAATTTTAAATTGTACTATTTAAAATCATTTGAAATTTTCAAATTTTGTTATGTAATTGTTATAAAAATATTTTAATCAGCATCATAAGTAACTAAAAAATAGAATTTATGAGAGTCACAGAGTGAAACAAGATAGCCCATATTACTATGGATTTATGAATGGCATGGTTTACAAAAATTAACATATGACAGAGCTGTTTCTTTGAGCTATGGGATTTATTATTTTTTTTAAAGTTCTATTCTGATCTTACCTTATCTGAGGTGATCTCTTTTTATTGTTGAAATAGCATGGAGTCATATTTATTCTAGTTGCACTTGGATAACTGAAGTATAATGTTACATTCTGAAACCATTATACATTATCTTAAAATGATAAATGTATCATTTCTTAACATTTTATATGTTGAAGCAGCAGTTAAGTAGCATAGATTTTCATAAATCATTTACCCACCAATATGATTTAATTCCTCTAAATGGTATTTTATTTCAGTATAATTTAGTTAAAGATATTCAATATGTACTATATTCTGTATACTACTGGATTTTTTTTAATGTTTGTCTGTTTTGAGAGTAAGGTACAGCATGTGCATGAGCAGGGAAGCAGCAGAGAGAGAAGATGGAATCCCAAGTAGGCTCCATGCTGTCAGCACAGAGACTGACATGGGCCTTGATCTCACCAACCATGAGATCATGACCTGAAAGGAAATTAAGAGTCATATGTTTAATGGACTGAGCCACCAAGGAGACCCTACTACATTTCATAAGAAAAAGGACAAAAAAAAAAATGCATGGTACTTGCCTCTAAAGAGCTTTCATGCTAAATGAAAGACAGGAAAGTTATTTTAATGTATTAAATTACATGGTGATATAGAGTCTACAAGAAGTGCTACCACATGCTAGGGGCTAGAAAATTTTTAGGGATTTGGATCCCTTTCTAACTGCCTTTCATAATAAACTGATAACAATCTATAGTTGTTTTTTATATTCTATATACAACTGGCTTTAGTGATACTGTTATTTATGTTCCATAATATTCTTTTTATCAGACCAGACAGATACAATTGTTTAATTTGTTTGCTGGAGTAACAGACAACAGAACAGATTTTTGTACACAGTGAAGAAAACTATATTTATTACATCCACTACTAAAACCCCATACCTTTCAAGGTACTTAAAGTCAGTGATGAGGAGATACTTTCTCAATGTATAAAAGAAGGAATGAATCAAAACTATCAAAATTGTAATCTTAACCCAAAATGCTTTGGAAAGAGCTTAGATCATGAAATACCTTGAAATACCATGATATATGCAGAGTTTCTTATTTCTTTCAATTTTAAAAAAAATCAAATCTTTAATATTGATATTGGTAGAATTATTATACTAATATATAAAAAACTCAAATTATAAAAGGGAAAATGACTAAACATATATAGGCATATTAAATGACAAATGATTTGAAACACTCAAATTCTACAGTACTACTGAAGATCTTACTTGCATGATATGCTTAAAACTATTCTAAATATCTCAGAGAACTGAAAACAAAACAACAGTGCACTCACTGTAACCATTTAAGCAAATGTTTTTACAGTACCCAGAGCCAAATATATAATTTAAAAAGGGCAAGAACCATCCCTGGCGGTGGAAGAAAATGAAGAAAACAAGTTTTCTTCCCTGTTTTATTCTTAACATCTCAACCAGCAGAATATGATAGATCATTGATAATGGCTTAAAGTTGAATTACAAGGCTCATTTTGCTCCAGGAGCACTGTTTTTTGTTTGTTTGTTTTTGTTCCTCCAAGTCTCTTGTTTTCTCTTACTTCTAAACCCTTGTATGTGGTTCTATGAGAAACTTCTCCCTTAATCCTTTCACTAATTGAACTACGCACTCTTCCACTAAATTTCAAAACAAATGTAGCCAACTAAGGAAAAATTCCATAATCTAGATCACCTCTCCACAATTTAAACACTCATACCATAAAATATTTATAGCATATTATCACAGTTTCTGAAATATGTATTTATTTGCTTACTCAGCTAGTCAGCACCTATCTTCCATAAGCTTTAAGTAATGTGTGAACAGAGATGATGCAGGAGGCAGAATAATGGTCCACAAAGCATCAATGTTCTAATCTGTGGAACCTACTAGTATGTTACATGGCAAAGGGGAATTAAAATTGCAAACAGAAATATGCTTGCAATCAGCTGACCTTAAGATAGGGAAATTGTCCTGAATTATCACGGGGTAGAAATCATGTAATCACAAAAATCCTTAGAAGTGAAAGAAGGAGTTGAGAGAATCAGTATCAAAATGATTCAGTGTGAGAAAGACTAGACCAACCATTACTGGCTTGAAGATGGAAGGTGGTTACGAACCAAGGAATATGGGTAGCCTTTAGAAGCTGGAAAAAGCACGGAAATGGGTTTTCATCTGGTGCCTCAGAAAGGGATGCAGCTCAGCTAACAATATGGCTTTAGCCCAATAGATAACATGTTAGACTTCTAACATATAGAACTATATGATAATATATTTTGCTGTTTTTAACTACTAAGCATGTTGTAATTTGTTTCAGCAGAGCAAATAGTAGATATTATTCCCAAAACCTGGTGCATGCTTGGTTCATGGTTGTCGATACTATTTGTTTAATAATAAAAAAAAATAGATAATAAGTTTGAAGGATGTGCTGTATCAACTGGATGGTACTAAGGTCCCAATATTTTCTTTTCCTTCTATTTATATATTAATTGAGTCAAGAAACATTAAAAACACAAAATTCTACAAAAAGTATTTTGTGGTCTTAAAATTATAGGTCACATTCTAAAGCCTGCATGTATGGCAGATGTAGAATGAGAGTCTGCACCACCCACCTTCACCAGACTTTGTATAAACTTTTGTTCAGGCTCTCTGAGTGTGGGCAGTGAGATAATGTGAAGGGGATATAGCTGGCCAAGTGCTAAAACCTTTTTTAGAAGCCAAATGTGATACAATTTTTGCCTCAAATTAAAGGACTCCTATTGGTTTTGAGTGACTATATTACAGCTTATTTCACTTCTGTTTTCTCATTTACAGCAGTCCTGTAGGCTACCTATTTCTAATCTTATTTTCAAGTTATTAATTAAGGCTCAAAACATGTTATTAATTAAGGGTTGTTACTGGTAAAAGTGTATGGAAGGAAGGTAGAGCATCCCACCTCGGTAGGCAGTAGGGAGGATTATTTCATCCCTGACATTTTTTTCAAAAATGTACTGTGCATGGGGTGCTGGGATGGCTCAGTCAGTTGGGCATCTGACTTTGGTTCAGGTCATGATCTCACCTTTCAAGAGTTTGAGCCCCTTGTCAGGCTCTTTGCTAACGGCTCAGAGCCTGGAATCTGCTTCAGATTCTGTGTCTCCCTCCCCCTCCCCTCCCCTCCCCCTCATTAACACTCTGTCTCTCTCCATCTCTCAAAAATGAATAAGCATTCAAAATGTTTTTTAAATAAAAAAATGGCCTCTGCATGACAAAAATAAAAAGCAGACCAACTCTTTGTTGGCTTGACTCTTTTTAGCTTATCTACAAGACAATGCTCTTTGTCCCTATCTCCCTCCACTGAATTCATATCCACTTTTTTCAATCACATGTCTTCTTTCTGGATTAGGCTGCCTATGTTCAAATTCTTTTCACATGTGAACATTACTTGCCCTTTCTCTGCCTCAGTTTCATCATCTATAAAAGGACAGCAACTGTATCTCAAAGGTTGTTGTTGGATTTAATATGTGAAAAAAATGCATATGATAGCATCTGTCTTAGAAAAGCATTCTGTATATGTTGCCTTTTACAAGAGCTTTGAAATTATCCCTGGAAAATCTTCTTCTCAGGAAGATTATAGTGTGAGGTTGGAAGAAATATTTCCCTAAACTGTATGAGTGACTGTTGAAATAATCTTATGAGGTATGCATACAAAGTTTATCTAACATGACTTTTTAAAAAAATTAGTTGGACACATTTCATGAGAGCGAGCATTGTGTCAGGCTCTACAGTCACAGCACAGCACAGAGCCTGCTTGGGATTCTCTCTCTGCTCCTTCCCCACGTGTGCATGCACACTCTTTCTCTCTTCTCAAAATAAATTAATAAACTTAAAAATAAAATACAAAATGAAATAAAATAAAGTACAATAAAATAAAATTTAAAATAAAATAAAATAATTAAGTTGGATTAACTGGAACATTTTAACTTGCTAAATTTAAAATTTGTCATATTTTAGGACAAAGCCAACTCATTTGAGCCAGTATAACTACATGAAGCTCCATTTGTTAAGCCATATGACCTGGGATCAAATTCCAGCACTACCACTTACTATGTGTGTTAACTTTAAGCAAGTTAACTTGCCTTTTGATGCCTTTCTATTATATCACCTATAAAATTGGGATAATGATACTGACCTCACAGGGTTGCTGAGTATTAGTAAGTTCATACTTAAAATGCGCTTAAAATAGTGATTGTCATACATGTGCTCAATAGTTATTACATATTTTTATTGTAATATCCCAAGGTTATCTTTCAAGAAATGTTAATTATTTATTTTTAAGTATTTAATTAAATTCCAGTTAGTTAACATGTAGTGTGATATTAGTTTCAGGTGTACAATATAGTGATTCACTATGTCTATACATAACCCTGAGCTCATCACAAGTGCACACCTAAATCCTCATCGCCTATAAACATGATGGTTAGATGCCACAAAGTAGGTGGCAATGCCTTATCCATATATGTGTTGTCAGGACTGAGACCCTCTTCTATCCTTGTCAAGCAAAGAGAGTGCTAACCTTCTCCCTTTTACACATCACAAAATCTTAATTATTTGAACACTAGAGACATCAGTAGATTTCTAATGGTTTAAATATCTAAAACAACAACAGCAAAGTAAATAGCATGTACTCTTGAGAGCCAAGGTCACCTACCACAAAGCAGACTGAAGATACACTTACTTTACATAATATTCCCTAGATAGTTAAGCTACGAAAGGGAAATTTAAAGGTTTTGTTGTGGAGATTATAAAATTAACACTATGGCAGTGGAATGTCTGTGAAGCCACTGTTTCATTTTCTGGTATATGAAAGTAACTTTCAAAAATTTAAGTGGAATGCTTTTATTTGTTTCCTGTCACACACTCTAAACAGCCTTTAAAAGTCAGTAGCTGTTACTCAAGAATAATGAGGTATATTATTCTCTCAATACACATGTAAATCTCCAATTAACACTAATAGGATTTATGGCAATGAAAACAAAAAGAAACCTACTTCAGTGTCTCAAAATAATCTTTATTTTTGATACCTACCTTTTTACCATCTAAGTGCAGTCAAGCATACATAAACAAATTAGTATTAAGCATCAATTTGACATTTCCATTCATGTTGACAATCTGAAATACTGTCTTTAAACAGTAATGTATTTCAAAGCAGAGATGTGGCTTTAGATTTAAGAATTTATATGTCTTTCCCATCTCTGTCATTAATATTAAAATTATAAAAAATAAGCATACACAGTCCTAGTATTGCTTGAGAAATACAAAAAAAGGTGAATTTCTAAAATATGTATGGCAAAACATTTTTAAGAACAGTATTTCAGAAGATTATCTTTTTATGCACATACATATCTGGAATCCTAATATCTCTTTAAAACACAATCATATATCCTTCTTTAGTAAATATTTTTCTTAGATTTGTATAATTTTACTATTAATCATATAATGAATTCTTCCTAAAAAGAAAGCTTTTAAGTGGAAAAGTGAAATACCATTAAGATGCTATTGTATTGAAATAGCATCTTGAAGAATATATTGTGAAACTGCCTTAAAGAGACATGAGAAACTGCCTTAAAGAGATATGAGAGCACAACTGAAATACATATTTTTACTAGTCTATGTGTAGAATGATCTATAGCCAGCTGGACATCTTTGGTAGAATTTGAATCTTTAAGATAATTATTTTTTTAAGTTTGTTTATCTATTTATTTATATTTACTTAAAGAGAGGGAGGGCATGAGCAGAGGAGGGGCAGGCAGAGAGGGAGAGAGAGAAGCCTAAGCAGGCTCTGCCTTATCAGTGCAGACCCCAAAGCGGGGCTCAAATTCATGAACCATGAGATCACGACCTGAGCCAAAATCAGTCAGACACTTAACCAGCTGAGTCACCCAGGCACCCTGAATCTTTAAGATAATTCTACAAAGACACTAGACTACACATAAAAGTGTAAATCCCTATGGAAGAAAGAATAAGCCCAGTATAATAGATTTCAATCAAAAAAGAATAAAGGGTATGACAATATCCCAGAAGGAATATGTTGATATAGCCAATACCTATTATTTTTTTATGGCATTATTAATATCTGAATGCCTGCATAAACATATCCTCCATAAAAATTATTCAAAGCAACTATAGCAAGTAAAGAGCTTATCAAAACATAGAAAAATATAGTTCCTGACTAATAAAATAGAACATTCCCCTCTAAAACCCTTGGCTAATAAAGTAAAAATGGCCTTGAAACTGAGATATTTATCTAACATTCACTCATTTAGAATACAATCATGTCTAAACAAAAGTTATCATTCTTTCCTAGGTAAAGAGAAGTTGACATTTTAAGAGCTAACCTATTAAAACAACAGGTAGGTTTTATTTTACATGCCCATTCATCCAAAAAAATTTTACTGACTTCTTAGAGATTAGGCCTAGAACAGTGCCCAAACCACAGCAGACACTTGATAAGTGTTTTTTGAATGAATAAATCAATTAACTAAATTTCAGAAATCCTATTTGGAACATCAGAAATGTATTTATGTCTCTCCTGTACAATGTCTCTCAATGCCAGGTACTAAGGTCTGGATATATTAGTTGGTTTTATAAAGCTCAAAGTATAATTGGATATAGAGGAAAAAGCAGATTATTATGATTTAATAGTAAATATGATACATAATATGGTAAATGACATTTGAATGGATTCATGCCATTCCATGGCATTGCATGCATTACAAAAAGTCTATTTTTGAATAAAATATTAAGACTTACTTTAAAACATTTTTTCCAAGATTAGAGTTAACTCATCCCTATACACATAATCTATAAGATTATGTCAATGAGTATATTTTTAGGAAGTACAATAACACAAAGAATAGTTGAAAATGTATACCTGTACATTTATATTTTTATTAATTATGTTTTTGTATTTTTTTATTAACGAGAAGTAAAAATGTTACCTACAGTGTTTCAAAAGATATACAAATAAAACTATATCTATTTGTTTAAACTAATGATTACATATTCATGAAATTAGCAATTTGCACTCATTTGGTTGATGATACTATTAATTTTATATGGTGGAACATTGGTTAGAAATAGTTTAGGAGAGTGTAAGAATATTTTTGGTTTTTTTTGTATGATCATATTAATGACAACTGGGATTTTATTTACATATGACTGATAGATAAAATTGTTTCACATTGATTTATGATTATGTGGATTGTTAGCTTTGTCTTCTAACATGACCATGCAACTACTCATGACTGATAAAGCTATTATCCATACAGTGTAGTATCACTCTGCATCATAGTACATCAGGGTCTACTGGACCCAATTTTCATTTCTGAATTTCTTTTCTGAAAAGTTCTAACTCTTTGTAAGACTTGTTCTTTTATGACATTTATTCTATGTTAGCTGTCCTCCGAAGAACAAGAATGTTTATTTGGGATTTCTGAATTGAATAAAATACATTCTATCCCACAATTTAAAAATATGCATTCACTGCATCTTTTTTATTAATCTAACATATATATTGGATCTTATGCAGTTGACCCCTGGATTTGAACTGTGCCAGTCCACTTACATACAGATATTTTTTGATACAATATAGTATTATAAATGCATTTTTCTTCCTCATGGTGTTCTTGATAATGTTTTATTTAGTTTGTTTTATTGTAAATACAGTATATAATAAATATAAAATACAAAATATCTGTTCATTGTTTATTTGTGTAGGCTTCTGGTCAACAGTAAAACTATTAGCAGCAAATTTTAGAAGAGTGAAAAGTTATACACACATTTTTTGACTGCATAGGGGATCAGCACTACTGACCCCTGCTGTTCAAGGGCCAATTGTATTTCCCATACACTGAAATATTTTGTTATCTAATACCCTAAGAATTATTTCATCATTGCTCATTTCTTATTCCCAACTATGCTAAAGTCTAAAACAAAAATAAAATTGTACAAAAGAATGATGGAATCACCTACAAAGGTGATATAACAAGAAATTGATCATCTCATAGCTTTCTTAGTGTCCTGCCAAAATTACTGCATCATCTTCCGAGAATGTATTATATTCTGCCTTCGGATTTCACTGGGTAGTTGAGAATTCAGAATGTCTTAATTTATCCTTTTAATAGCAAAGTGAAGAAAACTGAAAGAAGACATTTTACAATTATATGAATCAAAATGAATGCAAAATTATTCATGAAGCACTGTTGACATTAATCATAATAGTGAAATTGATCATGTAATTCTGTAAATCATATAATGAACAACTAACAAAAAAAGAAAATCTGTAGATCATACAATGAATAATTAAGGACCAAAAGTAAATATGGTATATACTTCCAGTTAGCCTTTCGATGGAAAGAACTTCATCATGCCAAGGACCATTCCATTTTCCCAAAAGAATATATGACAATATTCATTAATTTCTATTTTTCCAGGTAGGCTGAGGGTTAAGTAACCACCCCACATATATGATCCTAAAAAAGTCATAAATGAAATACACAATACTGGATATTTCAGAGATACCATGTACAACATTTAGGAATGTCTTATGTGTTTTATAGGCGTTCAGTCTCATAAACATCCACACAATCATGAGGTCCCAAAGACTCTCAGGAAAGTTTCTTAGAATCCTCTCAACAGGCTTAGTATAGAAATGATTCCACACCTAAAAATATACTCTTTTTTTTTTAAAATGGCAAATAGATACCTGACATATATCTGAAAAATGAATGTAAATTTTATTATATGGTTTGTTCTTAAATAATTTAATAAAATTTTAAGTCTTCTGATAAAATCAGATTTTCCTTCATTAATTTACAGAGCAGTCTTAAAAAAGAGGCTCTTAACTGATAGTGGATTTCAACTGCGAAAAAAATTAAGCAAAAAAAGGAATAGGATAAAGAAATAAATAGATAGGATGCTAAGCTGGGAGGAAATCTGTCCTTGCGGGGTTTGGGGAGTGATTATCCGCTACATGCTTTTCCAAAAATATGGATGTATTGATTTTTATGAATCTTCAGGGAAAAAAAGTTAAATTCATCTTCACTGGATTTAATATGTATTATATATATTAATTATATATCTTAATTAAATGTATAATACATATCTGTTAAGACTGTTGATTAATAATGACAGATATTATGAAATTATATAATAATCATATTTTTTCCAGTTAAGATGCATCATTTCTGTGCAGTAAAAATAACTCCAAAGGTTAGACTAAATAATCTGCTGGATCGCAACCAGTTTTGTATTTAATCCAGAAATTTATTCTAAAACTCCTTTATTATATTACAGGTAAACACCTAGGGTATTTTTAATGGTTTTTGAACAACTTTGAAAATGTTAATGGATCTCCTATCATTAACTTGAATAAAATTTTAATACATACTCATTATTTATTTTTAGGAATTATATTCTTAACTTTTGGAAAATTACACTTCAATAGTTTTAGAGTTTGTCCTGTTAATACACCCAAGAGATTAACCTGACAATCATTTAAAAAGTATACCTTACGTGCTGCTTAAGCCCTGACAC